TCTGGGAGAACTGGGTTTGATTCCCCACTCCTCCACTTGCAGCTGCTGGATGACCTTGGGCAAGCCATAGTTCTGTCAGAGCTGTTCTTGAAAGAGAGCAGTTTCTGTCAGAGCTCTCTCAGCCCCACCTCTACCTCACAGGGTGTCTGTTGTGGGGAGGGGAAGGGGAAGGAGTTTGTAAGCTGCTCTGAGACTCCTTCAGGTAGAGAAGGGCATGGTATAAATCCAATCTCCTCCTCCTCCTCTTCTTCTTTTCCTCCTCCTCTTCTTCTTTTCCTCCTCCTTCTCCTCTCTGCCTGGGTGGGATTATAACTCAGAGTGAAGGTTTTGCTCATTTCAAAGCTCCAGAGAAAAAATGCTTATTTCCACGGTGGTCAATGTTCCCAGTTGGGGTAATAAGCTCTACATCTCTTACCAGGTCTTGAGACCCATTCAGTGCCAGGTCCAAGATCATTACCTCTCTGGTTGGCTCTGTGACCAACTGTTCCAGTGCACAGTCATTTCTGGTGTCTGCTAATCTCATTTCTACAACATGACTCGAGCATATGTTTACCCAGTCAATGTGAACCCAATCAATGTGAGGGTAGTTGAAATCTCCCAGTATAATAACATTCTCTGCTTTAGTCGCTGCCCTTATTTCTTTCTCCATCTCAAGATCAGCCTCAATGGTTCTTGAAAAAGAGCAGTTTCTGTCAGAGCTCTCTCAGCCCCAACTACCTCACAGGGTGTCTGTGTGGGGAGGGGAAGGGAAAGGAGATTGTAAGCCACTTTGAGACTCCTTCAGGTAGTGAAGGGCAGGGTATGAATCCAATCTCCTCTTCCTCTTCCTCGTCGTCTTCATCCTCATCGTCCTCCTCCTCCTCCTCCTCCTCCTCCTCCTCTTCTTCTTCTTCTTCTTCTTCTTCTTCTTCTTCTTCTTCTTCTTCTTCTTCTTCTTCTTCTTCTTCTTCTTCTACTTCTTCTTCTACTTCTTCTTCTTCTTCTTCTTCTAGTGTAGAATTTAAAAATACCCCGAGATAATTACAAGGGTGAACTCGCGTTTAGTGTAGAATGTAAGTTCGGGGACAGGGTTGAACCAGGATTTAAGGTCTAGTGCGGAAAGGACCTTTAAGACCAACGTATGCATGCACATGAAAGCTTATACTTTGAATAAAATGTTGCTGGCCTTAAAGGTGCCACTGAGCTCATACTTTGTTCTGCTTTAGAAACCAGCCATCATTTAATGAGTAGAAGTATTTTTCACAGCGTCCAACACGCCCACGTCCTGTACTGTTAAAGAGCAAAAACCGAGTGGCTTACCTCATCATAATATACTCTCATTTCCGCTCTCTTGGATCTCAAGTCCCAGAGTACTACCGTTCCATCTTCATAGCCTATCAACAGCTGAGGGGGGGAAAGAGACGAACGTAAGCAGATGGCCAGCTCCAATATGTTTTTTAACATGTTTAGCAAACAAAGTTCGATTTAAACCACATGTTCTTAGCCTCTTCCCATAAACAAGTTCACATATCTGAAAGCAATTTCAGTCAGCTGAGTCATTTGGAAGCCGAGGTCTGTTGACGAAGAAGAAAGCCTTACGTCAGAAAATGCGGTTAGGAAAAAATTGTTTTCTCAATTTTAGCAGACACCTCCGTTCCTGTTAATGAAGGAAACCCAGTCGAGTTGACCGTTTTTGGGATACCATACTCCAGGGGGGCCCTGGGGACCCCCCTGGAATTACAACTCATCGCCAGACTACAGAGATCAGTTCCCCTGGAGAAAATGGCTGCCTTGGAGGGTGGACTCCGTGGCACTGAACCCCACTGAGGTCCCTGTCCTCCCCAGGCTCCACCCCCAAATCTCCAGGGGTTTCCCAACCTGAATCTGGCAGCCCTACTGTGAACCCCCCACCAGTGGCCGGGGGGACTTGGTAATCCTGACAGCTATGACTGCAATTCTACTCCATGAGAAGCAGCAATGGGTTTGTTACGGTGGACAGAGTGTGGGGAGGGAAGGGACAGGACCCCAGTGGAATAGAATGCAACAGAGTCCACCATTCAAAGCAACAATTTCATCCAAGGTGAACTAACCTCTGTAGCCTTGAGATCAGTTAGATCTCCAGGCCCCATCTGGAGGATGGCAGCCCTATATCTTAAGAACATAAGAGAAGCCAAAGTTGGATCAGGCCAATGGCTCATCCAGTCCAACACTCCGTCACACAGTGGCCAAAAATACCAGGTGCCATCAGGAGGTCCAGCAGTGGGGCCGGGACACTAGGAGCCCTCCCACTGTTGCCCCCACCCCCAAGCACCAAGAACACAGAGCATCCCTTGCCCCAGACTGAGAGTTCTTGTCTATACCTTGTGGCTAATAGTCACTGACTGGACCTCTGCTCCAGATGTTTGTCCAATTCCCTCTTGAAGCTGTCCATGCTTAAAGTTGCTCCTGACGGATTAGGGTCCAGCTTACCTAAGGGACCGCCTTTCCCCATATGTTCCCCCAAGAGCACTACGCTCAGGGGCACAACATCTTTTCGTTATTCCAGGCCCCAAGGACATCAAGTTGGCTGCAACCAGGGCCAGGGCCTTTTCGGTGGCGGCTCCTATTTGGTGGAATGAGCTCCCAGAGGAGATTCGGGCCCTGTGGGACCTTATGCAGTTCCGCAGGGCCTGTAAGATGGAGCTCTTCCGCCAGGCTTTTGCATAGGAGCCGCCACCACTACTGTACCACTACCGAGCTGCCATCTTTGATGGTGGATTCTATCAGGATGTGAGCTGGCCCTGGAAAGACGACCAGACGACCTGAAGAACAGGTTACGAAAGGACGACAGTACTATCTGGAACTTATGCTGATGGGTTATGCTGGTCTATGGAACCCCATCTTGGATTGATAAGAGCTTATTATTTAGAGCACTGGCACTTTGTGATTGACTGTTTTGTTCTGTTTTTAGCTGTTGAATCATGGCATATGCCTCTTTGTTAGCCACCCTGAGCCCGTTTGGGGAGGGCGGGATATAAATTTAATAAATAAATAAATAAATTAGGCCCCATCTCTCCATCTGCCTAGCCCTGTCTTGGTTTCTATTCCTTGCTCATGTTAATAGGACAGAATTGGGGGCACTGGCTTTGACGGGTACCTCCCAATCACAGAGGTGCAAACCTCTGGGTGGAGCACGGGGTTCTCCCAGAATTACAAGCAATGATCCCTCTAAGCTGTGGAGTCTTGTGAGCAAAAATTCTACTTTGTGAGCTCCTGGCATTAAAGTTGTGAGCGAGAGATTTGGCTACTGCATAAATTAATTTGCTTTGGAGCAATGCTCCCTCTAAGCTGTGGAGTCTTGTGAGCAAAAATTCTATTTTGGAAGCTACTGGCATTAAAGTGGTGAGCGAGCGATTTGGCTGCTGCATAAATTAGTTTGCTCTGGAGCCATCCTTCCTGAGCTAAGACAAAAATGTGTGAGCTGGAGGCTAAAAAACGGTGCGCTGGCTCACACTAACGCAGGTTAGAGGGAACAGTGATTACAAGGGACCCTAGACTACAGGGATCAATTCCCCTGGAGGAAACGGCAGCTTTGCAGGGTAGAGGCTTTGTTATCCCACCTCTGTTGAGAGCTCCCTCTCCTCCCCAAATTCAACCCTCCCCCAAATCTTCACCCCCAGTTTAGCGACCCTACAATCACATGAGCAGCCAAGTGGCCAGACACCAAGTAAAAAGCACTGGGGGGGGGGTAGCGCCAGCACGTCACCTCACACCATTTATTTTTTCCTTTTGATAGCTATGGGTGAGAAAATATAAAATATTTTAAATTATTCGTTCTTTTCGTACTGTTTAACGGCCTGTCTCTCATTTCCACAAGCCAACAGGGGGTTTTCTCTGAAAATTACATCGCTGTGAAGGGGCCTGTCATTTACAATCTGGCGCTACGGGGTCATAAAATCGCCAGTCATACTGTTTCCCTCCCTCGCAGGCTCTGAATTAGTAAGTTTTTCCATTTCTGTAACAGGAAAAGAAAAAGAGACAGCTTTTGGCCATGCAGAAATGGGAGGTGATTTGCTGGACTACTTAGGGTAATTCTGCATGGGCTGTTCCCTCCAAGCCCACCTTGGAACAGAGATTCCCCTCTGCATTGCATGCTGCTGTCACTTTGTTTGATCATCGGATTTTATGGTACCTTCCACACTGCAGGCCACTTTCGCTGTCTTTGATCTTCGGGTTTTATGGTACCTTCTGCATAGATTTGTGGCCATTCAGGGGTTACTTTGCAGTGTTGCCCCGAGGTATTTGAATGTGGCTTTGAGCTGCATTTTTCCTCCCAGTTGAGAAAATGTGGAGCGAATGCCAGATGCAGAATCACCCAGGGACTCAAGGTGGATTAGCCATAGTGAATCTAGGGTTGTCCGGTCCCTCCTGACAACTGGCAGGGAGGGGGTACCTACTGGGAGCAGTAGGGAGGCCAATCCGATGTACAGCTACTTGTCCACATCACTGCCCACCTAACCTGGAAGTGACATCATCACATCTGGGACGTTAGAGCGACGTTCTGGTATTTGGGCAAAAACTCTATGGTAAATTTGGCTTCTACCATAGAATTTTTGCCCAAATACCAGAGTGTCACTCTAACATCCTGGATGTGATGACATCACTTTCAGGTCATGTGGACAGTGACAGACACATCACTGCACGTCAGGTGGATCTCCCTCTTTTCTGGGATAAGTTCCCCCTGCCAGCCAGCTGATCTGAGGTGGGGAGGTGGGGTCTGTCAGCGGGGGACCCTTGACTCCACCAGGGGTCTGGAAACCCTAAGTGACACAGTACAATCAACAAAATGGGGCATTCAATAGACAATGCATTTGGATTGCAGGTGTCTGGAACCACCAGAAAAAAAAAACAGAAGCAAAGCATAAATATTAACATGTCACATAAGTATTAACATGACACATTATGCAGCGCAAAAATTGCATAATAGGAGCCGACTTAACGAGTTCAGACTTCATTTATACCTGTTACTGTATTAATTATACTTGAAATTTCAACTCAGTGTTTGCATTGGAACGTATTGTACTTCTTTATCGGTTCATTAAGGAATTAAGTTCATAACACACAAAAATCAATTAATAGCGTCATTAACAAGTACTTTGGGTGTAAGCCCCACTGAATAAAATGGGGCTTACTTCTGAGAAGACTTGCTCAGGATTGCTCCCTGACACAGACGCAGCAAAAAAATCCACTAACTCCAGAAAAATTCCAATTTAATCAAATGTTGTTTTGTCTTAGAACAGACAAATATAAAAAATGTATCATCTACCCATGATCTCCATTTGTATTTTGCTTGTTAGAACAGACTAAGGCAGATTGTGCATCTTATATTATACAATAATCTACTGCATAAAGTATTGTGAGAGAGATACATTTTTTTCCACATTTCAGCTGCCTCATAAAGTGACAGAGCCCAAGGGCAAAGATGTCCCCAAAAATGCTCAGAAATGCTTCACTTCGTCTTAACTCACTTTTCCTTCATCTCTCGGGCTATCACTTAGGTGTACCACAGGCCCAGGGTGAGTCTTCGTCGATCTGCAAATAAAAAGAATGCTGGAATGATATCTGAGAAGGTATTACATAACTAAGCTGAGCATAATCCTTTTTATAGGAGAAAAGCGAGAAACAAAATATGAGGAAACCAAAGGCCTTGGCCTGTCCTCTGTCCTAAGTAAATGGGAGGACACCGTCACTGAAACTAACATGATTAAACGGAAAGCCCTTTCTGAGGAAGAGAATGCACCATTTCTGCAAAGGGAAGTGCTTCGGTTGTCCAGGCCACGGCTGGCAAATGGGGGGAGATTGCAGGGAAGAGGGATATAACCTTTTTGGCGTCGCCCCTCCCCTCACTCATGTGAACGCTAGAGCATCGCCCCTGTGCAATGACGCAACTTCCAAGCCAGACCAGAGGTGGTGTCATGGTATCAGCACAATGTCAATCTGCCCCCCCCAATTTCCCAGCATCTTTCTCCCACTATCTAGCTGAGCAGTGGTAGTAGGACTGGAAACCTCCAGGTGGCACCTGGAGATCTCCTGGAATTACAACTGATCTCCAGATGACAGAGGCGAGTTTCCCTGCAGAAAATGGCCGCTGTGGAAGCTTTACTCTATGGCAGGGGTGTCAAACTCATTTGTTATGAGGGCCGGATCCTACATAAATGAGACCTTGTTGGGCCGGGTCGTGTGTGTCATAAAATGTATTGCCAGGTAGTGGAGATATAAACACAAAGGTGGGTTTTTTTACTTAAAATTAAAACATGCTTAAAACATTAGCACTTGCAATATTTTGTTTATTTAAAGTGTCTGATGACTGACACCTCTTGCTCTGAATGATTGCATCAAAATGTCTGTGCTGTTGCAGTCTCGAGTATGCTGTTCAGGCGTGTATCTGTAAGCTGCAAACCTACAATGACGCAGCAGAAGTGGAAGAAGGAGCAGAAGACAGCCAGTTCCACTGCGGGCCTGATAGAAGCCCTCCGGGGGGACTGATCCAGCCCACGGGCCACATGTTTGACACCCCTGTTATATGGAAATATAGTCTGTGGAGGCTCCTCCCCTTCCCAAACCCTGTCCTCTCCAGGCCCCACCCCCAAACCTCCAGGAATCTCCCAACCCAAAGTTGGCAACCCTAGGTGGCAGGTCTCCCTAGAAGCATTGCCTCACCGAACCCTTTCAAATCCTCAGGAAGTCCCAACAAATAGATAGGTGGAGAAATTTAGCAGAGTTAACAAACAGTTTGGGCACCATGTTGAAGTAAAACTTAAACCAATTTTTATTTTTTTGTCCATAGTTCTTCCTAACATGGTGCTGCTAAGGGCCTTAATACAGCTAAATAGGGGTCATTTCCTGCAGGAGCGCACAGGAGCGCAGCTCCGGCAGTAAAGAGCCCAGGAGGCGGGCACGCCAGATAAGTTGCAGAGGCCCCCCCCGGCCCCCCAGTCCAAAAAAGTCCAGTGGCACCTTTAAAACCAAGTTTTATTCAGGTACAAGCTCTCCCTCCTCTTCTAGGGCAGATCTGCACGTCCCCATCCTCCCCCCCCCAATAGCTAGCAATCCAAAACAGTCCAGTGGAGCCTGAGCGGTGGGTGTTGCCTTCTGACACACTTCCAGTGATGTCAGGGAGTGTGGCATATGCAAATAAGTTATGCTAATGAGTTATGCTAATGAGCTCCTGCACCTCTTTTTCTACGAAATGACCCCTGCAGCTAAAACCACAGTTTTATACGTGGACTTTTGAGGGCTTTTGACAAAGGGGTCCTAAATAAATTTACCATTTAAGAGCTGCATACCGGGTAAATATTACTGCATACAAGCTTAGATCAGCATTTACAGCATTGCGATTCCAGACTATGCCAACAGAATTCCTCCTCGGACGACACTTAAAAATACCCCAGGAACAGCGTATTTTTATCTGTAAAACTTCCGTGGAGGATCTTTTGCATTATGTCATGGTCTGCCCATTGTACTGGGAACCGAGATGTAAATTTTTGACTGCAATAATAGATCAATTGCAGAATTTTTCTGACATCGATAAATTAATATTTCTGCTGTCAGACACAGACCCTGCAGTTTCCTATAGGGTAGCACTCTTCGCCTTAGCGGCTAGTAAAATCAGGGCCAAGAACATAGAAAAATGAAATTGAACTGTAAAACAGCTATGTTTAAGGCTGAGTATGTGTTTCTGGAGATGGGTATCTATATTTAAGATTTTAATTAATTTAAATACTGAATGTGCAGATTTTTAGAGGTTGTTATAATTCAAACTCAAATTCCAGTGCTGTAAGTTATCTAATTTGTACATTGTT